AAGTTATTCAGTGCTATTTGATTCCAGAAATTTTATTTTTCAAATTTCACATCTTGGAAACCATCGTGCAGTGGATTTGATTCACAATAACACTTCACAATTTCTTCTTGATTTTTATAGGTTATCCACATTTTTCAATGATTTCTTTCCAGGACCTTTATGGTTTCTAGTCATGGTTGCTAAGAGAAGCAGCATGCCCTGTGTCCAACTTGTTGCTCAATACCTGGGAACTGGTTTTTCCAGATTTCACTATTCAGAATTATAATCATAATTGTACAGATTAAATACAGATAATCCTCATCTTACAACAGTTTGTTTAGTGACTGTTCAAAGTTACAACGACACTGAAAAAAGTAACTTACGACTGGTTTTCACATTTATGAATGCAGCATCATCCCCATGGTCATATAATCAAAATTCAGACGTTTGGCAGCTGATTCATATTTATGATGGGTGCAGTGGCCCAGGGTCATGTGGTCCCCTTTTGTGACCTTTTGGCAAATAAAGTCAATGGGAAAACCAGATTCACTTAACAGCCATGTCACTAACTTAACAGCTGTAGTGGTTCACTTAACAACTGTGCCAAGAAAGGTCACAAAATGGGTCAGAATTCACTTAACAAATCTCTTGCTTAGCAACAGAAATTTTAGGCCAGAGGTGTCAAACTCAATTTCATTGAGGACCACATCAGCATTGCAGTTGCCCTCGGGGGGCTGGGTGAGTGTGACCAGGGTGGGTGCTGCCTACTGGGTGGGCGTGGATGGAGTGGGTATGGCCTACTGGGTGAGCATGGCCAGCTCTACATCATTCGCGTCAAGGGTGCCTGTGGGGGCCTGGGCAGGAGTAGGACAGATCTGAGGGTCTCTGGCAAAAGGGGGTGGGAGTGGGGCAAGCGCCAAGGCATGGTCCATTTCTTCATTCCTCACAAAGGGTGACACCTCCCCAGTATGCACCCAGACGGCGGGGCCGGCACAGCAGGGGCTGGTTCCTTGCTGTTTCTAGACGGCCTTGTGGAGCTAAGACTGAATGCGTTGAGCATAGATAGCCACCATAAAATTGTACATTGGCTCCCGGCCGGCCTGGGCCAGGGCCAAGGCAGCAGGAGCCATTCCCTCGCTGTTTCCAGGATGGCTTTGCGGGGCCACATGAAACCACTTTACGGGCCGCATCCAGCCCCGAGGCCTTGTGTTTGACATATCTGTTTTAGGCTCAGTTGTGGTCGTAAGTTGAGGACTACCTGTAAATAAGTATAAAATAAATAAATATTTTTATTTTAAAGAGAGCTGTGATGAGCAACTTCCATTTTAGTTGAATCCTATTATGTCCTAGACCTGTTTAGTCATGCTTGTTGCTATTCTTTTCTGTGTATCTGTTACGATGTGCAATGGTATATGGATACTGTGGCTTTTGGCTTCCAGACCTAATCATAACTGAGGCTGATAAATTATGGGATTGGTGTGCTGATATACTCCGATGATTCATTTTGGTGATTGTGTTTAACTCTTTCCAAAATACGTGCACTGTTTGAGATCATGAGCTTCATGGAAGTTTGCATTTGATCTTGTTCGCATCGTGCAGTATAAACGTGCCTACATTGGAACATCGGCAAGAAAGCTGGTGATAATATTCCAAGCGATTGTATTTAGCATAATTATTAAACAGGAACTGGTAGATCTTGGACATATTAAATAAAAAGCAGGGTCGGTGAAACTAATCCTGTGTGAGTGTGGGACTAAAGTGAAGTGTTAGCTTCTGTAATTTGAAATACCATTCTCTCTGGCCCTCTGGTTGATACTCAATCCAGCATTTTTCATAGTTGATGGATCTGGATCTGGGTTTATGCAGGTTATAATCTATCAGCATGGCAGGGAGAGGGCCATAGGTTCTCCATTCCTGTTCATTGGAAAAACTGTTCATTTGGACATATTCAAGCTAACAGATGGAGAAGCTGCTTCTGAGCCTGTCTTTGGGATTTTGTGTAATTATTATTTTTAGCTCATGGTATTATTCTATCCTTGTAATATTGCTAGCTGTCTAATTACTCTTTTTTTTTTTAACGGACTGAGGCATACGAGATGCCCACAGAGAAAAGTGGAGCGCACGAGGGAATTGAGTTCAAAATGAAATCCACTCTCATTTTAAGTTTCCAACATATGTAACTATTCACAACTGTGGTGAGGTGCCACTCTACTTCTCATTTTAGTTTGGCATGGGGAGTTTTTGCCTCTGTGCCACAAAAGTGCAGTGTAGGCCCATGAGATCAGGAAGCAGCTCCATGTTATGCCTAAGTATCCATGGGACCTTGTTTTTTGTCTTGTGGCGTTGCCTGCAAGACTTCAGCCTAGTGCCATAAAAAAATAAGTGCTGCTTTTTCAGTGTAAGCAAAATGTAGATGTGGGTGTAGAATCCAGGACTGTACCGAAAAGCTACTACACAGTTCGATAGGAGAGTTGCATGTTCATGTTGCTTAAATATTTGCAAATGCTCTCCATTAGAGCAGCAAAATGTTGTAACAGATTGCTGGGTTTCTTTCCTGTTCTCAATCCAATAGAATAGAAAGAGGTGTCTCTGTTCAGTCTGACCTACTTTTATCTATTGATTTTATAACGTACTGAATCTTGAGTGGGAGACGTTCCACGACAAGCTTCAAAAGCACCTTGCTAAATAAATATTTCTTTTTTTGTGAAAAATATCATGGTGTCGTCTGCCTACTCTAAGTATTTGGATTCTCTCCTTCAAATGAAGACTCTCTGCCAGATCACCATATGACTGAAATGGTATTGAAATCTCAGAAGGCATGTGAAGCAGTTGAGCATTAATGTTCCTTGATTTTAAGTACCTTTTTAACTCTTAAAACCTGAATTCTGCCCATCGATCATATTTTTTGCTTTATTGTAGAACTGACAAATAAACAATGAACATATTGTTTGTTATACCTCTGAATTGTGGTAGATATAGAGATGGGGGGGAGGAGAGAGAAGGAAGGGGGAAAGGATGGGGGAGACAGTCGAAGAGTTTTAGAATATAGTGAAATGAAACCTGGCTAGAGTTTGGATATGGGGTATTCAATGTTGAAAATGAAGAAGAAGAAAGCAGAAGAACTTTGCAAAAAAATACAGTAAAATTCTGCTTGTATGCTGGATAGATGTCCATTTATTTATTTATTTATTTATTAAAAATATTATATAGCCACCCAACTCACTTGCAGTGACTATAGATGGCTAATAGAAGTCAAACTTCAAGTATAAAACTCAATAAAAACTTATCCCCTGGCCACAACAATCAAATTATTGGCCCTACAGCAATATCTGATGTGTGGCAAGGGTGTATTGTAGCCGTCCTGTTTATTAACTTGTATGTAAACTCAATTAATCCAAGCCTTCTCTCTTTCTGTTCACAGGAGAAACTACTATTATCAGAAAAATATTTTCACAACATTATCATACAATTTATTGTTGGCAAATTGGAATAATATTGAGTCAGTACAGATTTACAAACACCTAGGAGAGAGAACATGTTTATATCAATCAGATATTGCTCAGTGTAGTTCTCGAGTTTCTTCTATTCAAAAGGCTCCTACTTTGTCACTGCAACTTGTAAAGTCTTTGTAGTCAAGATCTTCTCTCAGCTTCTTTGTGCTGTAGTACCTAAGTCTGTACTTTTAGAAATCTTGCCATCCTTGAACCCATTCACTCTAAATGGAGCTATTCTTGGCTGTCCCAGGGTGTTTTAATGCTGCTCTGTTTAAGTCTCCATGGAGCTTGGTATTATCATTTTAATGTATGGTTGAGTTAACACTTTTTCCCCAGTGAGCCTAGCTCCAATGGTTCTCACATCAACTCAACCTGATTAAAAAAAATGTTATTGGCAAGTTTCCATCTTTAGGACTCTCAATGAAAAGCCTTTTTCCATTTGCTTTGAAAATGCCCGAAGTTTCCTTAAACAGCCTGTTTGGGACATTGATGCTCAAATCGATGTTCAAATGAACATCAATTGAAGTTCAAATCAATCAACCTCTCTTTCTCAGCCTTACTGCGCTTGTGGAGCCTTTCCAAGTGGGTATATACCGGAATATTTTTTTTCTCACCTGCTGCAGTTCTGGAATTTTGCCAGGACTTCAGTTTAGCAGGCTGGATGCATTGCCTTCTGCCATCTACAAAAATATTCCCCATCTCCTTATATGCGTGAATGGCTGAGTAGAATCCCTGAGGCATGTGCTCTTTTGCTTCTCTCTCTATAAAAACCCACCCTATCGATAAGAAATTCCCTGATGCAGAATGTGCCGTCTATTGATTGCTCCTCATGTGTGACCATTGTTTGCATACATCTTGTTTGTCTAATTCTAGACCACTATTTTCACAATCCACCTCATTTTGGATGCAAAAGCTTGTAAAAAAATTGCTTTAATTTTAGCCCTCTATATTTTCATTGTTACCTCTTGTATCTTGTATCTGACTGTTGTACTTCTGGCCTCAGTAAAGGTTTGATATGCTTTCATTTGCTTGTATGCTGTTCCTCTGCCTTTCCACTAGCTTTTTTTGAAGGGAAACTATTGAAAACCATGTCTCTTTTGATTCTCAGATCTGCAGGGAATGATGCAAAATGTTGATGCTTTAATCCAAATCCAGATATTTGGATTTTAGTCCTTAAATGTACTAAAAACTTGATAATCTGTAATTCTTTTGATTAGAAGGATTATTTTTCCCATTTATTATATTATGGTAAATCTTAATGCACTATACCATTTTTATATCATATTTGTACAGTATTAATTAAAATCATAGACATATTGTTTAAATAACTTAAGATATTAATTAGAAAAAAAGACTGTGAATATGTGCTTAATTATTATAATAATTAAAATTTGGACTGTGCTTTTGGCTGTAACTTGGTATCATTAACTAGGATACACCACTAGCATTATTTGAATTATCTATTATTGGACATTAATTTATTTTGAAACGTTGCTAATGTCAATTATGTTTTGTTTTGTTTTGTAGAGATAAGAGCAGTTCTTCATATGCAAATGTTTTGAAGATGTGGCCTTGATAATAAAGGTAGGTATATACTCTTTACTTTTTATGTCCACATGGTCATTTAATTCCAAAAGAAATGTGGAACTTTTAAGGTCTCCCGGCCCTTGTAGTCTCTTTGCTGCAAAAGTAATGGATTAAGTCAATAGCTGAATTAAATTCTAGAAGATTTCTGTACTGCTACAGTAATGCTTCATTTATATGAATTTAATATGATTAGCATATTGTAGCCTATCAGGGTGCAGAACTGTGATAAAAACTTCTTGGTTTTGATGTTTTTCTGATGTCAAAAAAAGTGAATGTCAAATATGAAATAATACAAGGTACTGGATTGTGCTATTTGCAGGCATTAGTGGTGGTCAAGGAAGGGGGGAAAATGATGGCATATGCATATTGCTATCACAGTTACCAATATTTTGCAGTTTGTTAAGTGAGTTTTGCCCCATTTTACGACTTTTCTTGCCACAGTTATTAAGTAAATCACTGCAGTTATTAAGTTAGTAACACGGTTGTTAAGTGAATCCGGCTTCCCCATTGACTTTGCTTGTCAAAAGGTGGCATAAGGTGATCACGTGACCTTAGGGCACAGCAACGGTCATGAATATGAACCAGTTGCCAAGCATCTGAATTTTGATCACATGATCATGGGGATGCTGCAAAGGTCGTAACTGTGAGAAACAGTCATAAGTCACATTTTTCAATGCCATTGTAACTTTGGTCACTAAACAAACTGTTGTAAATTGAGGATTACCTGTATTTACAGAATGATGTATGAATATCTCTTCAGTTTTATTTCAGATTAGTTCAATGGTTTCAAAGCTGTTTTAGAAGAACATTTTTTTCATTGCTCCATACAAGAATCAATACAGCCTTCCTTGAGGTAGCCTTTGGAATAGTACATTAAGTCCACCATCCTCACAGAGCAGAAAGAAATAATTGTTACATTATGAAATGTCCCCTTTTATGAAGTTTTATCTGATTTCCTCCTCACTTTATTTATTTCTGTTTATATAATATATACCCTATATTGTTTTATTGTGGTGTTGGTACTATCAGAAGGCAGTAAAATTATATCTAAATAATAGTAAATATAACTCCTGCTAGCTCTTCAGCTGTTGGCCCTATTTACAGAAATGAATGGCAAGCCTGAAATAGTTCTAATATGCAGCTACTCCCCATGGGAGCCAACAAAATACGAAGAATAAGTCTGTCACACACCCATAAATATATTTTAAATTTGGGAAACAGTTCAGTGTAAAGGAATAGAAAATCTCTATAAATATATGAATTACAATTAGATGTGTTGGAAGAAGCACATGGGTGTTCATAGGCCTCAGCTTACATTTTTAGGTCATCTCCAGGCCTCTTGATAAAAATACCTATGGTATGATAAAACTTAACAGGTTGTTTTGACAAGCGAAAATGACATTTAGTGGAAATTCTTCCTAAAAGTTACCACATTTCTCTTTTCTCCTGCACTCTTGCATTCTGGCAAGATGGAGCTGTACTTCCTTGTCTCTGCCTGGCACTTGGAAGTTCTCCAGCACTGGAGATGGATAATCCACCAATGGGTTGAGACTGTATTCCTGCCCAATCAGATCAGTCAGCCAAAGTTGCCATGCCCGTCCTGGACCACGAGATTCCCAGTCTTGACTGATCTCGCCCAGGAATCAGACGTACAACTTTGGCTCCTAGGCAGGTATAGTTTCTCTTCCATTGGTGGATTATCTTTCAATAGCTGAAGGTTTAGGCTAATTTAAATTAAATTGGAACTAATAGACTAAATTATTTTTTTAAATTCTTCCAAATTACAGATTGAGAATCACACTTCCCAGAGGGATAGTCTTCCTCACTATAAAGGGGGGGGGAATCCCTTAAACTCCTTCCCTAACCCAACCCTCAACCCTCCACTTACTTTAAAAAAAAAAATCAAGCTGATCAGCGGAGCTGCGGTTTTAAGCCCAGCCATTTAATAACAGCAGCTACTTAGCCCCGCGTAGATAAAGGATTAGTGGGGGGAACGCATGCGAGGAGGGAGGTAGCTGCGGAAGCCTTCTCAGACAGCGCGAGGCAGCTGGAAGGCAAAACGCCGCACTTTAAATTGCCGGGCATTCCTCGGGTTTTTTAAAAGAGCCGCCATTACTGGAGCAGCTCAGCGTATTGGAAGTTCTCATAGAACTATGGAATATATGTTACATCAAAGAAATAGGCTTAGCTGGCAATCATTAATGCAGTGCAGTTTTTAAGTTTTAATTAGGTAGGCCAAATTGGTGGGTTTGGCTCTTTCATCTTGTCATGGAACTCACATCTACTCTATAAGTATAATCAGAAGCTTCTTATGAAGGCCATGCTATCCTAATTTTTACAGTTGTCTTTCCTTTAAAAAAAAATCTTCCTTCTTTCCCCACATGTTTTACTTCTCTTTGTGTTTTTATATAAACTATTCCTCCCTGAACAGATTATCCTCATCTCAAAATAATTGCTACTTGCTAATTTTGCATGTTTCTAATTGGCGAGATTGCTTTTGGAATAAATGTTTCTTGTCTCACTTTTAAAAGTATTTTTGTATTTTATAGTAACATTTGGCCTTAATTTATGCATGGCCTACACCAGGGGTAGGCAACCTTGGCTCTTTTATGACTCGTGGACTTCAACTCCTAGAATTCCTGAGCCAGCCAGTCACAAAAGAGCCAAGGTTGCCTACCTCTGGCCTACACCATTTTGTAAACAAGCCTCTTATTAACAAATCAATAAATTTAACTCCTGGTTTAAGTTTTAAAAGTTAATTAACCAGTCATGTTATTATTTTTAATTTATTTAATTTCATTGAATGTTTATGCTTGCCAAATTATAAATCCTTTACGAGGCCCTATCAGTTTTGGCAATATGGTCTTGGATAAGCCATTAAAAGGTAGCTGTGGCCCTCAATTCAATAAAAGTTTCATATGTTTGAGTTACATTGTCTTTTATCAAAAAAAAAAAAAAAGGATTAGTGAACACTGCTAGCTTCAAGAGAAGCAAAAACTGTATTGAAAGAATGGGAAGATTGTTAAGAGAGTGTCTATGGAGATTCTCAATCATCCAGGTCATGTTTGTCCCAAAGGTGCTTTTTCCAAAAGGCAACTGGACTTTCTTGGGTCTTTTTTTTTCTCTTTGAAAATGTTTTTGAAGTTAACTGAAGAAGCTTCTTGTATGAGAAGTGAAACGTTTTCAAAGGAAAAAAAACAAGAAAGTCCAGTTGCCTTTTGGAAAAAGCGCCTTTGGGACATTAAGACAGTGAGAATCCTTACTCTCCTGAGGTTGCAAAGACCTACTTCTTCATAGAAATGGAGCCAGACTGGACAGCATTAGCATGAAAAACGTCTGCCCAATCTTCTCCATTAGACAATTTCACTATGAGGTTACAATGAGCAGTTCTCCAGTTCAGAGTAGGCTAGATGAGAACAGATGTTCAGCATCTGTGTCAGAATCTCAGAGGCCAGAATTTCTCTTTCAAACAGGCAGCATCAGCATGAGGTCATAATGGCTGGAATTGTTCTTTCTGTTCCAAATGGACACCATTACCTTAGATGGCATTACTCCCAGCAAGGCACTGCAATAAATGGGTTAAGTATGTTCCTGTGTCGCCCCATGGTAGATAGATGTCTTTTATAGAAATTGGACAATTAATGGTAGAATATGGACATAGACTTTCAACTGAAATGAACACTAACATGAGTTCAGAGAAGCAGTGGATGACAGAATGGAAGAGATAAGTTAGCTTTTACAGGGATCCTACAGAAACACAAGATGGACAATCATTGAAAGAAACAGACACTATAGAGATGGCTTAATTCTTGAATTTGAGGAGAAAAGATAAAGAGAGATTTAAACAAAATCTGCAAAGTCCTTCTTTCTGCCCAATGCCTATAAATTTTACTTCCTCCCCTCAGCCTTATAAACCTCAGTACTCTACAATTACAGCCCTCCTGGTTATCTGCACAGAAATAGGAAAATTAAACTAACATCCTTTTGTGTGTTGCTGCTTTTTGGGTACTGGTTAAAAACTGATCAAATGAGTACCTACAGCATTTGCTTTCTTTCCTTTTTGTTCCTAACCTCTAGACCAGAGGAACCTGGCTGGCAATTTTTACTTAATTTACTTTGATTTAAGTTTGAATTATAATGAAATCAAATCTGAGTTTTTTTCCCTGGCTCTTTTACCTCTTTCTCTCAGTTTCACCATTACAACGCCAGCATATTGTTTCAAATGCAGACTTCGTTCATCCATCTGCCGCCAGCTTTTGTGCTACAGACTGTGGCCCTAGAGTATAGGACTAAAGATGATTATTTATTTGACCAGGGAAATCTCTGCACCACAAGCACTTTTCTCTGGAGCGCTGTTTATTTCTTTTTATTTGGCTATGGAATTTTGATTCATATAAGCAAAGAGAGCACAAATTGTCATACAAGGGTGGTTGAATATGTTTCATTATGGAGATAAAGCAAATACTTGTGAAGAATTAGATTGAATCAGTATATTATGTGGTAAAAACATAGAAGACGTTAATATAATCAAGAGATCGATATAACAGGAATCAAAGCGAGGTTGGAAGAAAAGGGAATAAAACGTGCATCACTCTTATACAGTGGTTAGAAAAGCAGGAGATGAAATGAACCTAAAAAGTAAAAATAAACCTTGTCTTTATTTTTTTAATTTCAAAGCAGTGACCGTAAAGAGCTTATTTTCAATGGGATTATTATAAAATGGTATATTGTCCTTCACAAAATCGTCATATTTCTTAACAATTCCAATTTTTGGAAAATCTGTTTTCTATAAATGTACAAAGCAGTAGCAATAAACACTCTTAATACTTGAGTTCTGCTGGAATCCTATTTGGGAAATAACACAGAGAGGGAGGGAGGGAGGGAGGGAGGGAGGGAGGGAGAGAGAGGGAGAGAGAGAGAGAGAGAGAGAGAGAGATCTTGAACCTTTCATGATAGAGAAGAAAAAGGAATGCAGGTGGATTGATCAGAAGAAAGAA